TGGCCGCCCTGAAGGCCCGGGGCGGGCAACCGCCTCCCCCGGGGGGGTCCCTCCACCACCTCCGGGAGCCTGTGTGGGCCCTTCGGGTGTGCGGAGTTGAGTTGGGGTTTTCTTCGGTGCCTGTTTGGAGGCTGATGGGAAACTTTGGCAGCCGCTGTGGAGTGTGGGGGGAGGAAAGGGTCGGATTTTATTGGTGTGGAGGCCGCGGGGTTTAGCCTGCGAGCTGGGTGGGTTTCTGGTAGTGCCCAAGGGCTGTTAAGAGGTGATGTTTAAGGACAAATCCTTTAGAGCGGCTTAAGGATAGCTGTGTTAGGTGGTCCTCGTTCCTCCGGCGCGTCCTGTTCCTTACAGCACGGTGTTGTCTTCCAGCAGTCAGACCCGTGGATCAGGCCGGAGCCGGAGTCCGTCTCCCAGCAGGGACAGAGGTTAACTGCGCTGCCAGTGTGTGTGGGCAGGGGCTGGAGTTCTTGGGGGAGGGCAGTGCTTGCCTCCCCCCAAAAAAAAAGAGTTGTGGGAGAGAGTTGGGAGAGTGCAGAAAAGAATTTCTCTTCAATAATCATCTCCTTTGGGGGCTGTAAGATTTAGATGTCTGTATCTCAGGATGTTGCATAGATATTTCATAGTGTAAAATGATAAACAGGGAGTGTGCACTGCTGTTGAATAGCTCAGTGGCTATTGCTGATTTCCTCCCTAAATGGCTGTATAAGAGTACAAAACCCAAAGGGACTTAGTTGTTAAAATCAGCTTTTTCGTTATCGCAGGTAACTATATCGCATAACTGCTTCCATTCACCAACTGCATGCCATTTTAAATTGGTTTTCCTAAAAGACACGTCTTCACTGCCTCTACCATCCCTTCGCCACCCTGGGGCATGGGCAGTAAGTTGGTTTTTAAAAGAAATGTAACATTGGCAGTGTTACTTGGTGCCTAAAATAATCAGAGGAGCAAATAGTGCATCCTGCTGACGTTGGGGGCAGAGTAAAACGTCTTTGGAAAATGGTGTTCAAAAATAGTTGAGGTTAACTAACTTGTCTGTAGTTACCAGACTTGCTTCTTTTCATTACCAGAGGCAGAGCCCATGTCTGATCCTTGGCCACGCTGGTTGCAGACTTGCAAGCCCAGGGTGGGCCTCGTGTTTCGCTCTGCCTGCTCTGTCCAAGCTCTGGAGGTATGTAGCGCGGTGGCCATCCCTTGACCCGCAGTGGGCTGCGTTATGGTCTGATATTTCCCCTTTTCTCTTTAGTGCTGAGTAACCCTTCTCTTGCGCTGCCGCCCAGTTTGAGAACTGGTACAGGATTGTCATTTTCGTCAAGTTCTGGGCTGTCTTTATCCTGTACGTGTTCCACCACAGCCCCATTTCTTCTCTTCATTTTCTTTTTTGTGTCACAGTCACAGCTGACTTTTGATTCGTTTGTAAGTTTGAACTCGGTTTGATTTTTCTGCAATTTTTATAAAACCTTTTTGCCACTTGAACCTGCAGACTTTTTAATTACTTTTTCTACTCAGTTAGTACATTTTTTCTCTATTTGTAGACTCTGTGGTTATGTCTGTATTGACTTTTGAAATAATCTTTTATTTGGCTAATTGGAGCCTTTCTTGCCAAATATTATCCCTTTGTTCTATTCGCAAATTCCAGGTCGTTTTTGGGGGTTTTTTTGACAGCCTTCACAAACGTAAATTTTGGGCAACCTCTGCACTCACGTCCATGGTTCCTCAGTCCTGACGATATTGTGCATTAGTTCCCTGAGTTTATTCAGATGTAACCATTTCAAATCAAGAAACTCGGAACTGAGATCTATTTCTGTTCACTTCTCTTTAGACCAGACAGAGTCCAGATCACTTGTAGTTAATTTTTCTCTGTATTTACTAACCTCTAAACCGACATCATTTCTTGTTTGTGTGGGCAATACTAGATGAAGATATTTGGTTGTTGCTCCCTCAGCGCTCTGAACTCCACCACTGTTAATAGTGTTTGCTCTTGTACGTGGGGGGTGAGTCTCCCAGGGGCACAGGAGTCGGTGCTGTGCTAGAGGTCTCCATCCAGACTGCGGTCAGACAGAAGGGTGCTACAGCGAACGGCCTGCACTGTGTGACGAGCTTCTCTGCCTCCTTCTGTAACGGTGTATTCTTGCCCAGGATCTCCCATTGTGTTTCTCTTCTGTTGCGTCATTCGTGTCCATTCACGTAGTGCCATCTTGATCTTTCGTTTCTTCTTTTCTGAATACGAGGATGCTCCAGCTCCAAGGCTGTTTTTTTCATCCTGTTTCTAGGGTCGCTAGAACATCTCACTTTTGGGTTCTTCTCCCCTTGTAGACCTGCCTCCACTGATACACAAATACCTGGTTGTTCCTTATTGCTCAAAACCTCATTAGAAGGTTGTGCAGGTCTCTGCCATCATTGTTAGTCTTTTGCCGTTCATTTTCCTTCCCACTTACTGCCCTTCCTCTGACATCACTTGCCTGATTTTCTTCCTCCTACATACTGAAACCAGGTGTCCAGGGAATATGTCTTCCAGCCTTCTCTCCTGGCATAAGTTGCTCAAAGTTTTGCCAGCCTTGATTCCGATAGGTCAGTATTCCCCACACCTGGGGAGCCCATCCATGGAGGAGGATCCTTTTGCTGTGAGTGTTTCTGGCACTTAAAAACCTTCTTGTCTTCTATGTCCTTGAACCATGCTGATTTTCATGACTTAGCTGTGTCTCTGAGGGCTAAAAGGGTTGGTCTGACTGGCACTTGAAATGGCGTTTCTGTGCACATCATGCTCGTTGCTGGTCTGCTCATCCAACATGTGTTCCTCTGAGGGTCTCTGTGTCATCTCTCGGTGGGAGTGGGGTCAGTGGGTTCTTCCAGACCTGAACCACCCGTTCTTATATCTGATTTTTAGCAGCATCATCCTGTCCTCTGGATCTACTCTGGTTAAAGGCACATTGACTTCTTAAAACGGGAGTCTGATATCAGTGGGAATCACTAACCCTTCATCCTTCTGCTGTTTCTCTGTTTGCAGATCAGCTCCTCTCACAGCCTCGAATATCCTGCATGTTTGTCCTTGTAGTGTCTCCTCCCCAACCCGGGGACCTTGTTCTGCTGTCTGTACGGCCCTGAACTGTGCTCGTGATCTCGGTGCTCGGCCGCTTTGTGCGATGGTATTGCTGTGTGTCGGTTCTCCTGCCATCTGCCTGTTACTCGCAGAATTTTGTGCTTAGCTGTTGTAGGCTTGGGGTGGGAGGACTTTATTCTGAGTTGTTCTTTATTTGTATTGGAGCAAAAGGTGGAGAGATTCTTGTGTATGTTTTTATCTCCTCGTCTGTCCCACAGTTGTGGAGAACTCAATGTCTTTTTTTCTGTCCCCCATGCAGTTGAGCTTTGCTCTGCTGGATGAGTGATGTTTTCAGTGACAGTCTCTCCTGGAGTTTGAAAGTGCTTTCTCTGGGTACCTTGTGCCCAAGTTTTCAAGACGAGAGTCGTGAACTTGATGTCTCCTTGGTGGGCAGTCTGTGCGCAGGGGTTCGGTGTGCTCGTCTTTGAAATGCCAATGGCTGTGAAGGGTGGGGAAAGGGGCAGATGGCGGAGGTCTGGTTCCTACACAACTTTGTAAGAAATTCTTTTCTAGGCAGAGTTTGTCAGGGTTTCTGCCTCTCAGAGCTAGCTTTCGGCATAGGCAGGGTAGGCGATGGTCAGGGCTGGCAGAGCAGCTCTGGGAAGAGGTCACCATTGCTTTGCTGCCTGATGTGTCCCTGCTTGAGTGCAGTGTTGCTGCCCCAGGAGAGCAAGATGACCGCAGGGATTTGCAGGCTGTGCCGGATCTAGCCTGAGCATTAACACCTGCAGTGCACCGGCCAGACGTGCCAAGGTGCAGGGGAAGGGGATGTCTCAATCCCAGATGGCTCATCCCTCGGGTGTCCCTGGCCAGCTAGTTTCTGTTTGTTATCAGCTCTCCTCAAGCTGCACTGCCTCTCTGCTGCTGTTTTTTCCTAAGCCACGGACAAACCTGATTTAGTGTTCATGAGCAAAATAAACAAAAAATATTGAAACTTCCTGCCTGTTGTATGCATACGTCTGCCCCGTGAAGGCTCCTGGCTGTAACTCTTCAAAACACTTTTCTCTTTTATCAGGATTGTGTTTCTTGCCTGGATTCAGCTTCTGTAACCTGAACTCGCGTGTTGGGCAATTCTTGCAGAAAGGCTGTCACTGCGTGTGCTGAGATGTGGTAGAGTAGTGTCGCCTGTCTGCTGCTGGAACTTGAGTTACGGTGTTGGTCAGTGCCCTGAGAAACTGTACGTAGGCACTGGGGAGAGAGATAGTCACGGAGGAACTCCACAAGCGAAGGATCTGGTGATGGGAATACCATCCTGTTGCTGGCTGGGTGCGTTTCCTTTCTCCCTGCATTTTAAAGTCTCCCTCAGCAATGAACAACAGTGGGAATGCGTTCTGCTGGCACCTCTGTATCGTGGTTAATGCTCCAGTCAGGTCAATGGGGACAAGAATATCCCTGTTGGAGGGAGGAGATGGTCTATCAGTCCCACCAAAGTGGTTTCAGCTCTGTACTGGCCCTGACCCATGTTGTATCCCATCTAATCTGTATCTGCTTTCGTGAGACTGGCTTGGAGGTGGCCTTTGAGTAGCTTCTCCGCAGCCTTGCTCAAGAGGAGAGACGATGCTGGGCAGTAGGTTTCTAGAGTGAAGATACCTCGACTGCCTTTCCTTTGGTGTTTGTAGGGCTGGTGCACCTAGAGAGCCTGCCACTATGAAACCAGCGGGTACTGGTAGAGCTCTGTCATGTGAAAATTAAACCACCGCAGTGATACTGCATTGCCCGGTGCGGAGCTGGTGGACGGCAGCCTTGGCAGCTTGTGTTTGTGTAGCGGGTCAAGGCTATCTCTAGTCCTGAGCTGCATAAGTAAGTGCATCGCATGACTTGTATCGTCCCAGGTTAACCAAAGTCCTGTATGTGCGTTTAACGAGCAGATTTCGTGTGCAAAGCTGTATCGCTTGAGCTTATTGCTGGGTGTTCAGATTCTTTGCAGCTGGTGCTTTTCATATCTGATTCATGCTTGTTTAAAGCAGACCAACTTTGTTCCAAGACTGAGAAGTCTCTTTTCCCTTACTAGGAAGAAGATCTCTTAAACGATGTTTGCAGGGAAGTAGTCGAGAAGTGGTCTGAATCTCAGATTGTTGACGCCAAAGAGAAAAAAGAAGGTAGTGTCGCTGCTCGGTGTGCCTTTCCTCGTGGTATGAGTAATGTGCAGGGCCTTACCAAGATGAGAACTGTGTGTTCGTCCTGTTTGGAGTTAAAACCAACGCTGCTAATATGTTTGCAGATCTGACTCGCTTCTCATTGCCATTGCTGCTTATGTACTGTTTTGTCTTGAAATATGAAATGAGGATGAGTAGTTTCACTTCTGACTGTCCCCTTTGGCTTCATAATCCTGCGGAGGAAAAGCTAATTTATTTTTTTTCCTGTAGGATTTTTAAAATTTCCTTTCACAAAACACCTGGGCTTTCTCTCCATTGAATGCTGACGATGTAGCGATGGCAGCTAGTGCAGTTGTTATGGTATAAATGCCTCTGCTACTTTGGTGTACGCCAGTTTGGAAAGCAAGTGTTTTTATGCTACTAAACTGCACCTACGGCGAGTAGCGCTGTCTCTTCTGCAACTGCTCACCCCAGGAGAAGGTCCCAGTACACATCAGGAAAGCATCCTTATTTTCCTCTTTCAAAATCTTCTCTTAAAACTGTCCTTTCTTTCCCATAAACACTTGTAGGGGGGAAAGCTCTACGAGGCTGCTGCTGCTATACTAACACTGCTCCTTTCCCAGTCCCATATAAAGCCCCACCGCTTCTTTGTACCCTCTCTGAATTCATCCCTTGTCTTCAGCTGTCGGCTCGGGAGTGAAAACCTCCGTCTTGTTCTTGCTTATTGGGGGGGCTTGTTCTGGTCATTGAGTAGAGCTCTGGGGTACAATGAAGTCATATGCTGGAAAGATTTTGCTGGTTTAAGCACACTGCATGGACCAATTAGTGATCTTCCATCTGCATGGGCCTAACCGTAGCCCATGACAATGTAACATCCCTTTTGGCTAAATCCTGCTTTTTGTTTGCTTTGCATTTTTTTGTTGGTTCTGGTTGCAAAGAGAATATTGTCACTGACTGATGTCATCTTAGAAATTGCAAGCCTGTGTCATGAGGCCTGTGTTTATATAGCGCTTTTCTTCTCTAAACCTCAGCATTTCACAACTATCGCTCACCTCTTCTTTGTAGACGAGGTGGCTGAAGCACACAGCAGTTCAGCGGCTTTCCCCAAAAATTCACTGAAGCCTGTCCTTGGTGTAACCTTGCTTTGGGACAGGGAACAGTTCCGCTATTCTGTGCATTAAATAAAATAAATCTGTCTTTTGGGGACAAGTGATTGGAATCGCTGAAGCGGCTGCTGGCTGCCTCCTGCTCACACCATTGGGTACCCACAGGGATTTTTCTTACTTGTCACAGAAAGAAGGTAGCAGTGTGCGTCTAGGTTGTTAGAAATGCAAGGATTTAATTATTTCACTGTGGTTCCATAAAAGGATAAATCCCCAATGAAGTCAGTATCTACCTAGAATAAGAGAATCCCAAGGATAAGTTATTAACAAACTAAAAAAAGTGTGGTGTCAAAACCCAAACATCTTTTTAAGAAATGGGCAGCAGAACTTCAATGTTAAAAGGTAAATCAGCCGTTCGTTTCCCTCGGTAGGTAGAAAATGAAGATTATTAAACAGATCTGTCACTTTGGGTTTTCAGAATTTCTATTTAACGTGAGTTTATGTACGTGGTTAAATGAACTGAGCCTTTTTTAGCCAGAAGAGAATGCAATTTGGAGTAAAATGGATTTTCATTAGCAAGAGTCTTACTGATTTCAAAGCTGCGTTGGGAAAATTCCTTTGCTGCAGGAAAAATAGCAACTGATCGTGGCTGCATGCAGCATGGGAGAATTCCTCCTTGCGAGGAGAAGCTGGTGTCACATCACCACATCAGATGCGGCACTGGCCTGAGCCTCCTCCTCTGTGGCTCTTCAGTGGCTCCTCAGACTGAATTCCCAAATCTGGCTGTCTCGCTGCGCTCTGTGCGCTGACAGCACCACTAGTGACCTTGCGAGAAGGCTCCTGGGAGGAGGGTGGGGGATATTTTTTGGATGAGACTTCTCCCTTCTGCTCGGCGCACTTGTCCCCAGCGACATCTGCCTCCCTGCAGCTGGGACGGAGCCTGTGACAGTGGGACGGTGCCTTTTGGGGGCTGCGGGTGTGGGAAGCAGCAGCGTGTGGCATCTGGCAGCTGGGATGTGGCTGCAGGGGCTGAGTGACGCTCTGACTCGTGTCCTTGCCAGATGAGATCCAGGCCATCGCCAGCATGATGGAGAAGCAGGCCAGGATTGTGGTGAAGCCAAAGGAGGTCTCCCAAGAGGAGAAGCAAAGGAAAGCCGCCCTCCTGGCCCAGTACGCCAACGTGACGGATGAGGAGGAATATCCTTTTCCTGACTCAGTGCTTCAAAGGACAGTGTTCATTAAAAATCCCCTAAAACGCCTTTCCCGTTTTGCAGTGTTTAGTGGGGAGAATTGGAGAAACTTCAATCTTTCTTCTCCATGATAGAATAATTTCCATGGAAGAAAGCATGGAAGCTCCTAGTTCATGGCGTGCCATGTGCCTGTTTCCTCTGCCGTTTCCACACTCCCACCGCTGCCTGCTTGGCTGGGGAAGGCTTGCCCACTCTGGGTGTGTTGCAGAAGGGGAGGGAAGCACCTCCCAGTAACTCCGTGCAGGGTAGCTAATACATTTAATGTCCTTCTTGCTTTCTGATGAGAAATCTGCTGAAAAGGTCCCCTTTAGAGAGAGTATGTGGAGAGTGGGAGAGTTTGAAGTTACCTCTCGTGGCGCTGAAGATCAAGCTCTTCCTTGAAGAGCAGAGCTGAACAGGAGGGAATGGTGCCGGGCGCTCGAGCAGCGGGAGGAAGCGGAACATGGCGTTTGTGCTTGCCGGCTCCTTGATTCTCTGCATTAGTTTTTAGCTTCTTCCTCATGGCTTGATAAAGTTGTCAATTAACATGTTTTGAGTTTAGTGTGACTGTATGGAGGCACAAGTCCATTACTGATGTTCATATTTCCTTAATTCTCTCACTGGCGAGGATGAACAGGATGGATCAATTGCGACAGCAGTAAATATCGGATCGGAAAAATGTATCCTTTGAATCGTTGATGACCCAGGCTTTTTGGGAGGAAGGCAGCTTCCACGGTGAGTTTCCCATCCTTCCTTATCCGGCCTGATACTCCTCCTTTCTTTAAGGCATCTTTTAATTTTTCTTCTCATGTAACCTGACCACGCTCGTAGTGAAAGCTGGAGCTCCCACCGCTCCCTGCCCCGCGTGCGCAGCTGAGACTGATCCTGTCATTCTCTTTTCTCCCCTCTGTTTCTTCCTTCCCTCTTCCATTCGAGACCTTCACAGAACATGCTGTTAATGATAATTCTCCCAGAACATCACCTTAATGTTAACTGGTGTCCAGAGAGGTAAATCACGTCAGGAATTATTAAAAGTCCAACTCAGTCTAAACTACTGTGAAACTCGTGAGGCCGTGGTGCAGCTGAACTTTAATGGTGAACATGGACTGAGTATTCCATGTTTTTCTCAACACAATAATTTGGGATGTTCCTTGAGCTCACCAGCTGGCTGGTTTAAGATGGAAGCCGGTTGTATCACATAGTTAAGAAGTGAAACCTAAATTATCCTTGTCCCTGCGTTATTGATGATTGGGAGGAAGAGACAGCGGAGACGGCTCTTTCTAATGCTCATCCCAAAGCATTTGCCACTGGTGGCTTCAGGAGAGAGGACACGTGGTGGTCTGTGGCACGAGCTGCCTCAGCCCTTCCCATGCCTGCAGCCTCCTCCTGTGGCTGGTGCGGCACTGTTCCCGTCCCGTCAGCGGGGACCGGTATGGAGCTGCCGGGAATGGTCTGCACCCGCCGGCTGTCAGCTCCCTGTCCCGGGGGTGGCGGCTGTGATCAGTGTCTGCAGACACACACACATGTGTACGTGTATGTGTATGTGAAAACATGCATGGCACACGTACAGCTGTAGTGAATCCACCTGAGGAAGCTGTACCATGTTTACCGTTTTTCTTCCTCTTCAGTTTGTGGAGGTTTTACACTTTTTTTTTTTTTTTTACATACCAGTCTTAAAAACCTGTAGGCAACTTGATTTTTTCGAGGAAAAAAAGCCTTTTTGAGGCAGTGTGCATTTACCCTATGTGACGTTTCTATTTGGAAAAAGAGATTCCTTTTTCTTTCTCCATTCCTGGTTCCCAGTTTCCTTACCTGCTGGGCGAGGAAGCCAAAGTGGGAGTTGGAAGGTGAAGGGGGAGGTAGAATAAAGGTGGTGTCTGGTTTAGAGCTCTAAAATACAGCTGTGGAGCGGAAGCTGTGCGGCATCAGCCGGAGCGTTGCCTGCCCTTAACTCACTGCCAGCACTCTTCCGAAACACAAATGTGGAGGACGTCCTGAATGCCAGGAAACTGGAACGGGAGCTGCTGCGAGATGAGTTCCAGAAGAAAAAAGAGCAAGATAAGCTCCAGCGAGAGAAGGATAAGCTAGCCAAGCAGGAGCGGAAGGAAAAGGAGAAGAAAAGGACACAAAAAGGCGAGCGGAAGCGATAGCTGGGGTTTTGCAGTTGGACTCTCAAGGGATAAAATGAATTAAGAATATGGTGTGTGTTTAAAAAGCAGCAGAAATTCTGGGCACATGGCTGGCGAGTGGTTCTTTGGAAGTGTTTCCTTTTTTTTTCCCCTGTGTTTTTTTTTTTTTTTTAAATAGCAAAAAAAAGAAATTTCAAGCACCTCTTAAACTCGAAGCGTGCCATGTGCTTGTGGTGTCAAATGTCCCAGTGGGTTATTGTGGCCAACGTCTGTACCAAAGAACGGTGAAGTGATTATGTCTGTGTTTTAAATTGATTGATTTATTTTTTTTTTTCCACTTCTAACCACTTCAAGCAAAGCAAAACAAGATGTTGGAGAGGGCTTCTGCGCTGGCTGCCGCCTCCTGCCAGCCTTGGTTTGCAGCGACAGCATGTTACAACTCAAGTACAGAGCAGAGCCCCTTTCTGACCTGTAATTAAGGACATGCTGCTGCAGGGCGAATGTGATTTTTATTTACACTAGCCTTGAAAAAGGTATTTGCGAATCCACATATTTACGCTGCCAAGAACAACGCTACGTCTTCGCTCTGGCTGAGCTGAGAGCGCAGGGTTTGGAGCCAACCTCAGCGAGGGCACGTGCTTTTCTGCAGCAAGAGAAACGGTATGAAATATAGATGAGTTGCAGCTCTGAGACTGCATCACCCGCGGGCCCTGTGTAAGGGAAACGCTGTGCCGGTTTGAGCATCAGCCGGAGCAGTAGCAGATCGGTCAAGCCCTTATGCTGTTTTCAGACTTTACGCTGGTTAGCAGGAAAATGGTGCTCCTCGATGTTTTGTGTGGGTGAACGTTGACTGTTATTTCTACAGCGGTTGCCAGGGCGAATGCTTTCACGCGGGCTCTGGGCGGAGCGGCTGTAAGCAATCCGTGTGTGCTGGGTTTACAAGCCGGTTGCTCTCAGCGGGCACAGCTGCGCTCGGGAGCCGCCTGTAGGGACTGAAGGCTTCTCTTGCCCCGAAGCGCTCGTTACCTGCTGTTTCCAGCTGTATTTGTGACGGTGTCACCTGTCTCTGGAAAGGAGAACACTAATTTCTGTAAACTGAGCGCCGAGGAGGACCTCCAGCGCTGTCAGGGCTCCAGGAGGAACCGGTGTGCCTCACCCCTGTGCTGCTTCGTGCTCCGGTTGCCGTGTTCACTGGTGGGGTGTGCTCTGGGCAGCAGGCGGCTCCTGTCCCCAGCGCCTGCGGTAAGAGCCATGCCTCCTGTTCAACCAGCTGCTGCAAGTGTGAGTAGAAAACCGCTTTATCTTTGGATTTGAGTAATAAAACTGGTTGGCCAAGAAGTGGGCGTCTGTCTGTCTGCATGAACGTCATGGTTAGTGATTGTGGTGCGGTGCAGGGGCTCCTCTCAGAGCAACCCTGCATCCTCCTGGCTGAGGAGGCTGATGTGCTGCCGTGGTCCTGGTCTTCCTTTACTCACAGTGCGTGTCCTGAGGCTGCAGCGTCCCGGGCCCCCCAGGGCAGCGAGCAAGCCATGCTTGTCCCCAGGGCTCGCTGCTCTGCCCCGCCTGGGGTGCTGTGGTGGATCACGCCTGAAGCATTGCTGCTATGGTTTGAGGAACCCACAACAATTCATTGTCATTTAGACAATTATTCTCTCACCTGATGAACCCTCCCCACCCGGGAAGGGGAATTGGGGAAAAAATAAGGAAGCCTGAGGGTTGAAATAGAAATGGATTTCATAGAATCATAGAATTGTTATGGTTGGAAGAGACCTTTAAGATCAAGTCCACCCACTAACCCAACGCTGCCCAAACCACCACTACCCCATGTCCCTCAGCACCACCTCTGCCCCTCTGTTAAATCCCTCCAGGGATGGCAACTCCACCACTGCCCTGGGCAGCCTGTGCCAATGCTTGACAACCCTTTCCATGAAGACATTTTTCCTAATCTCCACCCTAACCCTCCCCTGGGGCAACTTGAGGCCGTTTCCCCCTGTCTTTTCACCCATTAGTTGGGAGCAGAGACCGCCCCCCCTCGCTACCCCCTCCTTTCAGGCAGCTGTAGAGAGCGAGAAGGTCTCCCCTCAGCTCCTCTTCTCCAGCCTCAACACCCCCAGGGCCCTCAGCCGCTCCTCACCAGACGTGTGCTCCAGACCCCTCACAGCTCCGTTGCCCTTCTCTGGACACACTCCAACACCTCAATGTCTGTCTTGTCCTGAGGGGCCCAAAACTGAACACAGCACTCGAGGTGGGACCTCACCAGTCCCTCAAACTGGGACAGTTGTCTTTCAGGGTGGTTCAGCCCCGGGCTTGATGCTGGGTGAGGGCACTAAGCTGTGGCTCAGCAGCCTGGGCCACAGGCAGGTTTGAGGAAGCTGCTGGTTGCGCCAGGCCATCCAACACACTTCCACTTGTACCACAGCTGTTCCGGCAGCAGCAGCAGGTGGTGGGAGTCTTCTTTTTTTCCCCCCATGTTCCTAAGCTGGGGTCCAAGAGCTCTACAACCTGGTACTGGACTTCCTCAACCTCTGCTTCCACATGGGGAGCAAGCAGAGGGCTGGAGCTGCCCACGCTCCAGAGCCCAGTACAGCTGCTCGAGACCTTTGGTTGTAAATGTCCAGAGAAACAGCTGTGTTCACCTCCTCCTGCCAGGGACTGAGCCCCCTCTGCCCACCACCGAGCTTAAGAGCCAGGCAAAGAACACAGGGCTACACCGTATCTGCCAAAATGTATATATTCAGTGGAAATGGTTGTGGATTGAAGGGCACACTCCACAGCACGCTACAGGAGCTCCCTCTCCCCTTCACTGGTACCAGTCACACCCTGCACATGCAAACCAGCACAGGCTGTGAGTTTGTTTTGTGTCCAGGTAGCCAAGACATTACTCCCAGTTAAGAAAGGCCCTTACAGGGACAGGGGACCAGGAGCAGAGGGAAGGTCCATCCCCCCACCCCGGGTCTTCAGCACAAACACCCTGGGGCAGAGCAGGAGACCCACAACCACTCAGCACCGCTGCAGCGAGGCAGCTTCACCAGCGGCAAGCGTTGGAACCTGCATGGATGTGTAACCGCACAACCCCCTGAACCTGCTCTACGCGAGGGGCTCAAGCTGCCCCTTGGCCACAAGCCCGTTTCAGCAGAGCTGGTGCTGCCCTGCGTGGGCGGCTGCGGGTCTGCCATCACCCCCCAGAGCTGCCGTCAGTCACCCCGGGACAACGTCTGCTATTGATCTGGTGCCCAGAGCAGATGTTGTACCTGGAGAGCGGAGGGCTGATCCTGACCTGACACTCAGGCTGTTCAGGAGCGCATGACTGGCATCAGCACCAAGAAATTTATAGACTCCAGACCGACTCTGGAGGTTTCTAGCTAAGAGACTGAAATGATGGCACAAGCTTTCTCTGACAGCATAGAGCTTCTCCCTAATGGGATATTGCATGGGAAAAATATCCACCACTTTGGCTTCACTGCACTTACAGAACTTTCCCTTTGTTTGTCTAAAGTTACAGTCACTTCTCTCTACAAAAGACTGATTTCAGTATCAGCTCCAGGACGGATGCGCCTCTCCAGTTTGCACTAACTGGCCTAACTGAAGTGAATCCTGTTGTGTGAGGTTATTGGGGAGAACTGGGCACCAAGCCCAAAAAACCCTAGTTTGGCTGGAGACTGGCCTGATAAGCGATCAAAGCTGTGTGAACAGAGCACAAAATCTGGCTACAAATCACCCACGTGTCGCTATAAATATCTGCAGGCATCAGGCCCCTTGAGCTCTGCCCCCACAGCAGCTGGCTGCACGGGAGGGATCTCCCCTCCAGCAGGGACACCTCTCGAGGTCACCCCTCAAGCAGAGATCCCTCACTGACACCAGGCCGCGATGGCTGGCTAAGGGACATTTTCTGCATGTTCATAACATCTGAGATACGTATAGTGAGCTCTTTGTATCCCACACTAACTTTAAGTGTAGTATTGACCACAAATCCATCTGTACTTATTAAATATTTTACATACCTAAATTTACTGATTAGATCTGATCTGCCCGAGGGATCTCTGACTCCGCTCCTGTGACCACCTCTTAACATACACACTTCAGTAACTAACCAAAAATTACAGTCCCTGTTAACGCATCATGTTCTAGGAGCTGAGGCTGTGAAGACAACGGCAGAACAAACACTCGTCAACAAAAGCTAGTTTATTTCTTACCAGACAGACGAAAGTCAGTACAGTATTCCTTTTAACATCAACACGTCCTAGGTTAAACTTAACAAATCCTAATGCAGTGACTTGCGGTATGAAGATGGACTGTTGTCCTGCCCCAATACACTCACGCCGGCAGTGCTTGCGGTCCTTTCAGTGATCAAAACGGTTACTCCACTTCCCACTGCATTCTCATGCAGTTTCTCTCTCACATCATCTAATGACAATTTACGTGGTGCGATCGCACCTTTTGCATATCAGGATTTCCAGAAGTAGGAAGAACACAGACATTGACATTGCAGGGTATCTCGGCAAGGGCAGCTGAATAAATTTAATCCACACATTATAAATGCGATGCTAGAAGTGTTAAACCCCCGTATCTCCTGAGCCACATAATACCAACGTTCCGTATCAGTGAATAAGTTACTTATATTCCAGACAGATTAAGATATGCAGAGAAACACCAAATATTAATAGCTGTCAAAAATGCAGAGGTAAACTAATAAGTCTAAAATACGACAACCAAATTTCAAACCAAACGAGTGAAAGAGTAACTTTAAGAAAACCTAAATTTCAGAACTTTGTGATGCCTTTTCCAATTTTAAAGTGAAGGTATTAAAAACAACACTCATCATTTCAGCCGCTGCACAGCTCTTTCAAGGATAATCCTGTGTGCATGTCATATTTTGATTATGTTTAAATACTTTAAAACAGAGGTTCTTTTTTTTTCCCCAAGAGCATGCTCAAATGATTTGAACACATTTACTAAACTGCATGGTTTCACAACAGCAATTTTGTCATACCAGTAATTTAGTAGAACCCGGTGCATCTCCTTTCACAAACTTACATTCTAAAATCTCAAATTCATAAATATTTATATTTTAAATATTT